AAGCTTGCTGCTAACTTGACAACTAAAGCTTTGTGTTGTCACAAGGTGGAATAGAGCATCTTGAATTTTGGAGATCTAGACAGACTAATAACTAATAAAGGATTACTCAAACATGTGTGAATGAAGCAAAACACAACTCCAGGTGTTTTTTTGATGAGGTAACATTATAACATGGTTTAAGGCTCACAAAAGTCAATTTTGTGTAATTTCAAAGTCCTAGTGCACAAGATGGCACACACCAATGGATTTATAAACCGTAAACTCTACCCTCAAGAGCACCATAAAGTCACAGTCCATTATTGTCTAATACAAGTGCATGGTCATCCAAACTGTCTGGGTCCTTCGTCTAATAACTCCAGTGTCCTAATGGGTGAGCTATGTGGAAGTCCAAATAATCAAATCACATGAGCTTCAGTTTTATTGATAGTCTAGCTTCTGCGCTGGAAATCCCCAGAGGCTGCACAAATGCTTTTCCATTCACATCCAAAGAGTTGGGGCAAATATGAATTACATATTGTATCACAGCAAAAAGGGAAATCTTAAAATGCTAAAAACAGTGGTGGAATGTAACAGTAAAAGTAGTAAAGTACTGTACTTAAGTAAAAATTGTAGGTATCTGTACTTTACTTAGTGGTACATAGTAGATTTTAAAGAGGATACTTTTTACTCTTACTTCACTACATTTGAGAGCAGGTATCTGTACTTTCAACTCCACTACATTTTTGGACAGGACTGAAAAGCAAAGTAAAAGCATTCAGTATGACCAATTCAGTTAGTTCTGTTGAAACAATTCATCATAAATCTTTATCAACATTGCCACATTTGAAGCCATACAAGATCTCAACAGTGAAACATGACTTTTTACTCCTTAAGTACTTTAATACTTTTACTTAAAGGTGCATTACGTAACTGTCACATGAGTTATTGCTTTGTCTGGAATGTTTCACAGTATGGTATTAAACCTTTCTATCTTCATGAAGACCAAACTAGACCAAGTTACAAGTTACACTCGCAATCAGAACCCTTTTTTTCAAGGTGTTTTTGTGATATAAAACCACCTGTAATTAAACAGCTCTACCTCACATGTATTCATACTGTGGAATCAAGTACTTCTTCCACAACTGGGTAAAATTTAAGCAGCAACAGATTGGTTTAAACTTTGGGGTCAAATAATGCTAGAATACATCTTTTGTGACACACACTTTGATAGTCTTTTTGTGTAGTTTGTCGTCATTTGGAACAAGTGACGCCATTCATTTGACCCTCTGTGCCTATTGACATGAGAATGAATGCTTTCTATCAATTATACTGTTTAAATGCAGAATGTGACCTAGCATGTGAATATTTGACCGCTATGTGCATGCTTTCCCCTTATCTGCATCCTTCTCTCACTTCATCTCCTCTGCCCTTCTCATTCTCTCCATCATCGTCAGATTTCAGGAATTTCCCCTGGGAGCAGCTTGAGTAAAAAATGTGTTTTTCTCTTCTCGTTCCCTCCGTACATCCACTTCCTGACCTTATAGTTTACCAACAGAAATCTCACAAACACAGCTTGATTAGATTCTCGTGATTCTATTGGGAAAGAGGCAGCCCATGACTAAGTGTGCACCTGAAGCAACCCCCCCTCACCTCCCTGTCGCTGACCCTTGACCTTTCAGATCATGAGACCCCGGTGCTGGTCTCTGTCCTGAGGAGCTGGGAGGAAGCGGGCTGCGTTCTTGTGACACAGTGGTCTATGCGGCCATGGAGAGGCCCATTACTGCAGTCACATGGCAGGTTAGCACTGTGCTGATGTGACCATGTGAGCTCTATTTTCTAACGCTAAATGTGCAGCCCGAGGCCTGTCATACTTTCACACAGGACATACAAGAAGCACATATATTTATAACAGAACACCATGAAGACTCATCATTTTACATACACTTTAGATATACCAGATACTTATGAAAGTAAAGACAGACCCTAAATATATACCTGTTTAGACCCATGCAAGTTGAAAACCTAATTCATTTTTTTTATATATATATTTACATCTCTAATAATTTACTTAAATTATTTTCCATTTGTTGTTGTGCACTGGTTTAGAAGGAAAGCTTTGTTTGTCTTTGGTTGCATCTAATATATGAGATATTAATCCATATTTAAGAAATTATTCAAATTGATGAAAAAAATGCCATGGCTCTCTAAAAATAGAAATACTAAAATAATTCAGGCACTATTTTCAAATTTAAACCAAAACAAATGAATAATTTTTTTTTTAAAAACGCATAAAACTTCGACTTCAAGTTTAAACTTGACACGTCAAAAACTGCCCTGAGAAGGTTATAATTCCAGCAATAAACTGCGCTCCAAGGCCCATTATAAATGTGTAAAAAGTGACTAAATGAAAAAAAAATCTAAAATATTAAAATTGTTCATCTTAATTTTCCGTTAAACAAAAAATAGCCAAGGGCAATAGGCCCAAAAAAAAAAAAAAAAAAAAAAAAAAAAAAAAAAAACTGAAAATTTGAGTTGATAAATAAGAACCGCACAGTTCATAACTCCTAACTTTGACCAGATCTACATTAAACGTGTTCAAGTTTCTCATAGTCACTCATGATAAAGCAGATTAAATGCAGGCCTATTCTCGATTAGTGCGCGGGGGCCTATGTTTCTGTTATTTTACCGGCCATATGTATTAGTGTGTAGAAGGGAAATATGGCCTTAAAATACAATAGCATTTGTTTTAAGTTATTTACAAGTTTTAAATAAAAGTTCGACGCACCAAAACAACACTGAATAGGACTGTGGTGAGATTTTGGGTTATGCACAACTGTTCTGCGTAACTGACTATAACTTAAAAGTTAAAAAAGAAAAAAAAATGGCTGACTTTTATTGCCACAGCTAATAAATATACAAGCCTGGCGTGTTAAATGGTATTATTTAAATAATAAAAAAATAGAACGATTGTGTTCAACCACACGACTTTTACGCACCGCGCTAGCGCTCGGACTTAATATAGCTTAGGTCTAAATTATATTATATAAATGTACATTATATAGAACTTTTGCATTATTATTTGCGTGACCAAATGTCACGGTGTGGATTGTTTAAAATGTCCCTGAGAAACAACCTTATTTGCCCTTCGACATGAAAACTTTTCAGATTTTTTGACCTCTTAATAAAAACAACCACAACATTGCACAGATAAACAAAACATTGCACCAGAGGTCAATACAATTCAGAAAAGAGTAACTACTCCTTGGTGTCCGTGTGCGTAGCAACACCTTGCAGTGTTGGTCTTGCTGTGCGGGCTCCCTGGGGGGCCGTGCATATCCAGATGTCCCACTGCACTAACTGAACACTGTGCGTAAAACCGCAGCCTCCTCGAGTAAATGCGCACAACCACAAGGGCCAAGTGCAGACGCGCATTTTGGACAGTTTGATGCATCACACATATCCACACAAAGGCGGTTCCCTTTTAGCAGTAAACACTCACTTCCTTCAAGGCCTCGCGTGGGTCCTTTTGGGGTGATGGTTAAGCATGTCCACCGCTCCAAGTGTCCCCATTTCCAAAGCTCATCCCGGGTCTAAAGAAGAGAAGATGCGGAGAGATCCGTGTGTGTCCCGTCTGCAGGCCTTCAGCGTGAGTGCGACTAGTGTCTACGTTCGGACATAAGGGAAGAAGGACGCACACATCGCTCTCTGTTATCAATTTTTTCCATGTTTGCAGCACAAAACTGCTTTTTGTTCCTCATTTTTTTCATTTACGAGGGTTAATGGATAGAGGCTTGGGCGTTTGATCACATGGCTACAATTCACCTGAGATGCACACAAAGGGAGCAAAGAGAGCGCGGAGAGAGAGCTGCAACGCAGACACTGGACACATTGTTGTGTCCGGTTGCGCTTCAGATGCTGTAAAAGTCGATTCTCTTCTTTCAATCAGTCCATGCTTTACGGTGAGGTCTAATCATAGACCACGATGGTGTGCTTTTGCTTAAAAATAAAAACAAACTGTTTTTCTGCCACTTGTCAAGTGATAACGGCCTTTCTGCAAATGCGCAATGGCACATTTTGGTTACACCCAAAATACTTTCTCAAAATAACAGATATAAACTACCATTAAATGTAGCATATTTGCCATAAAAATGTATGGCATACAAAAAAATGAAGCTTAATGTGCCCTAATGGAACTTCTGATACGACGTTTAATTGAAGAGTCCAGCTCCTAAACACCAAACTGTAGATACAGTTATCCTTGTTCAGTTGTAAAATTAACAGCTACTTTGACTTTGATTTACTTGGAATTCATCTTTAACTCGACTTCTCTTACAGCAGTGGTAAACACATTGGCTGAGAAAAAAAAAACAAGAACTCATTCGTCAAGTTTCCTGACACACAGAGCAAGACTGCGCAAGGTGAAACTGATATTTGGATTTTGCAAATTTTACTAATCGGCCCATAAAGTTGTTGTGGTTTCAGACCAAAGTTAATGTTTCTAATAGGCCTGCAGAAAAAGGCCATCACATGGATTGTTTTAATTGCTGTAATATTTACGCTCATTAAACTATTATCTGTGAACTGAGATTTGAGAGTCAGATACAACATTATAACAGAAACTGATAAGGAGTTGGGAGGTTCACGGTTATTCAAAGTGTTGAAGTTTACAATTGCGCATTGGCTTTTTGAGGAAGGCAGCCACGCCGTGCAATAACTCTAGTCATGATTGTTTATTTGTTTCATGTCAACGCGTCCAACAAAGCAGGCCTTTTGCTGCCTGTAAATGGACGCTCTGTGGAGCAAGCAAAGCCGCTGCAATGTAAAATCTCACCTCTTCTACTTGGAAATGTCCCACTGATGGACGGAGTCACATTAACGGGCGAATCAGAGAGCCCAGGCATAATTACTGGACCAATGAGAGAAGCGCACTAGACGAGTGGGCGGGGCTATCTGTGTATTGGAATGCTGTCTCTCTGGGAATGTTTTCCAGTTTTTTTTCCTGCCAGTGCGTTTCACAAGGCGCTCTTTAAGCTCCGCTGTCGCCACACAGAGCAGCCATTCATCGGCACCACAGTCAGCCACACACTCCCATGTCGAACCACTGGACAGCTCAACTGGTAAGTTATGTAATTTTAAATACTAATTTTACAGATTAAAATAAAATATTTCGCTTAAGTCTTATGTAGATCGTCACAAGTTTTTATAATTTGCCAACTTAGTTTATGTATCTTAAATTAAAATAATTTATGTTTTTAATTTAAATACCACCATATCATAATAACTGAACATAGAGTTGAAAAAAGTAGTTTTGTTTTGTTTGTTTTTGATTTTTTCAATTTATCATGTTTTTTTCCTGATAGGAATAAATCGTAAAGACGCTTCTGAGCCGCGGATTTGGATACTTTACGCACGGCCATGGAGTTGGTAAAGGAGCAGTGACCACTCGCTTGAAAGACGACAGTAAACCTAATACAGCTGAAAGACGTTGTTTCAACTTAATTTGTTGTTAAAGACAAGATTGAGTAAGAATGTCCGGTGAGGAGCATAGCCTGTCTGAGGCAGAATTGAGTCCCGGAGGGTCTGAAGATGCTCACTCGCTGTCGCCAGCGCACTGTGGAACGGTGGGCACCCAGGACTCGCCTCTGGGCGGACAGCAGCAGCTCACCACCCTCTGCGTGGCTGAAGATTCAGAGGACGGGGTCCAGTCCAGAGCCAAATCGGACGAAGAGGATGATCGCTTTCCCATTGGTATCAGGGAGGCAGTGAGCCAGGTGCTGGACGGTTACGACTGGACACTAGTGCCAATGCCCGTGCGCGTCAACAGTGGAAGCAAAGCTAAGCCGCACGTGAAAAGGCCGATGAACGCCTTTATGGTTTGGGCGCAGGCCGCGCGCAGAAAGTTAGCGGATCAGTATCCACACCTGCACAACGCCGAGCTGAGCAAGACACTGGGGAAACTGTGGAGGTTTGTACAGCCATTCTTTTATGAACTGCGCTACTGTTTATTTTAAGTTGTTGGACATATGCATGTTTAGAAAATAAACTAAACAACGTGTTTAAAAAACAAAGAAATATATAATAGTAGATGCTATAGGCTACCAATATCTAAATCTGTCCTTGTTTCCTGAAGGCTGCTAAACGAAAACGACAAGAGGCCATTCATCGAGGAGGCGGAGAGACTGCGGAAACAGCACAAGAAGGACTACCCTGAGTACAAGTACCAGCCCCGGAGACGCAAGAACGGCAAACTGACGCCTGTTAATGAGTCGGACAGCCAGGGGGAAGGGGAGGCCAGTCATTCCCAGTCCCACTACAAGACCCTGCACCTTGAGCATAACGGGGCCGCGTCTCCTCTGGGCGAACTGCACCATCACCACCATCATCACCACCACCATTCTGCAGGTATACATGTACTCAATATAAGACTCCAAAGCAGCAGGCAATATGTCAAAAATATGTCTATTTTATGAAGTGTTAAGATAATCTTATACATGGAAAATGAAATAAACCTTTATCTCTTCTCTTTAGGTCAAGGTCACAGTCCCCCGACACCTCCTACCACCCCAAAAACAGAGCTACAGTCCGGAAAGTTGTCCGATTCCAAACGTGAGGGTGGTGCAGGAGCATCAGGGGGGTCCAGGGGTGCACTGGGAGTGGGGGCTGATGGAGCGCCTAGTTCTACCTCATCTGGCGCAAAACCACACATCGACTTCGGCACGATGGACATTGGAGAAATCAGCCACGATGTTATGTCCAATATTGAACCTTTTGATGTGAATGAGTTTGACCAGTACCTGCCACCCAACGGTCACCCTCAGAGCAGCAGTGGCGCAGCTGCTGGTGGCCCCTCCACCTCCTCATATGCCTATGCTCTGGCCGCTGCAAGCGGGCACTCCGCTTGGCTGTCCAAGCAGCAGTCTCAGACCTCCCCATCACCCTCAGACCCTGCCAAGGCCCAGATCAAGAGCGAGTCTGCGTCTGGGAGCCACTACGCCGAAGCCTCGTCCTCCCCTTCCTCTGGCACCCATGTGACCTACACCCCCTTGAGCCTGCCCCATTACGGCTCCGCTTTCCCCTCGCTGGCCTCCAGGGCTCAGTTTGAATACGGGGAGCACCAGGGGCCCGGAGCCTACTACGCTCACTCCAGTCAGGCCCCAGGGCTGTACTCAGCCTTCTCCTACATGGGCCCCACACAGAGGCCCCTGTACACCACCATAGGAGACCCCGCCAGTGTGGCCCCTTCACACAGCCCTACACACTGGGAGCAGCCTGTTTACACTACACTTACAAGGCCTTAGAGTAGGAGCAGTAGAGCAGAGGGAATAATGGGAAGTGTGTGTGAGTGGATGAATGTATGTGTATGCAATTCTGTTCAATACTGGGTCATAGACTGTAGAACCTATGGACTGATGTGTCAATAACATTCGAGGGTAGAGTACTTCTGCCATCTGTTGATGTTTGTGAGCGTGTGCCTGTGCCATTTTGATGTTAAGAAATTTTTACTTTTTTAGCCAATACCATGCAAGCATTTATAAGACCTTACACGTTCTTAAAAACAGTACTCAGTGTGTACTCATATGTCACAGCAGCCAACAAGAGACTTCGTGAATCAAGTGGAATAGAGAAAGAGAAGATGCAACAAGTTGACTATGAGTTTTGACAGTCATTTGGTTTATAACAACATAATCAGATGTTATTAACCAAACTAAAGGAGATGTTTAATGTTATTGTGTTATTTTATATAAGTAGTAAGATTATTGTTGATGATATTTAGTGTGATTGATTTGACTCAACATCAAATGCACCACTGCTATGGGAAAAGTATGTTTCAAAAGCTCAAGATGGTTACGCTGACTGGCCAGATCTTTAACAGTGGTGACATGTTATTCTTCCTTCTTTGACTGTAGATAGTGTCTGTTTGTGTGTCCTTAATAACAACAACTTCACCGAAATAAATAAGCAATTTATGGGGAAAATAGGAAACCGAGAGGGAATGAAAGCTCTTAAAGATGTGTTTTAGCTTATGCTCAGTCTTGGACACTTACCTCAGTTTTACTTTGCTGGTGCCAATGTCAGGAAAGAAGTGTGCCCACCTGCATTCCTGATAATGAAGAAGGTTAAAAACATAAGTTAAATCTGTTACACATTTTTACGTTTTTTGTTTATTTCAGATTTTTCTAGTAACTGAAAAAGTGCAAAGTCTCAACAAAATCTTTTATAATAACCAACCAGCTCTGAGTCCTACTTAAGGATTAGGATCACATGTACTACCGCTCTGAGCTGCATGTAGGCCAAAAGCATGTCCTAACAGTGTTTTTTCTATACTGTGTCTAAACTGCCAGCTTCCTTTTCAGCAATGTGAATAATGGTCATTACCACAAGCTTCACAGTTATTTTGTGACGCATACTTTATACTGACCCTCTTACCATGTTACTTGTATGTAGGCAATGCCGTAATGTGTGTCAAACTTTTGCTTCTTCCATTTTGTATAAGCCTGGTTAGTTTTGTAAACATTCACTTGAGTATTTTTGCTTCCTTACCAGAAAAGCAATGTCAAAATTATATTGTTGTCATCTATTAAATCAATTTATTTATAAGATCTGCGTAAAGTGGTGATTTTTAATGATGCTGCTCTGAGATAACAGCATAAGTGTGAGGTCACGACAAATAGGGGAAACTTGTGCTGACGTGTGAACTGTAATAACAACACAACCACTACCTCACTAATCTAAGCTGTTTAGTGCATTTGTGTGTGTGGGAGGCTAAAATTGACTACTAATTCCCCACATTTAATCGGCTGGGGACTGCGTGTTACTGAGAAAGACAAAGAGAGCCATTCAGTGATGGAAGGAACAGGACGGCAGAGAGAAGGGTGGGTGTAAGCAGCCAGGGGCAAGGCCAATTTCAGCTCAGAAAGAAGTGTACACTGGGTTTTTCTACACTCACCTGAAGTAGAAGGGAAGAAGACATTAACTAAAATAATAATATGCTGATATTTAAATAATACATTAAAACCTCAACAGTAATTACACAATCTTTTTTTTTATTCATCAGATATGATGTGCATGTGAATATGTAATTCTTAATTGTTTTTTAAGTAGGGGAAATGTAAGGGAAATGTAATGTTTAGATCTGGTTTTGCTAATGTGTTGCTCACAAAGTTAAGTGTAAACATTACAATTAACCAACCACAAATGTTTAGAAATAACTTTATAACATTTGAAACCTTGTTAGCTCTGTTTGCAATTTAGTGGGACTGGCTTCCCAGTTGTGACAAGCTGTTTTCTGTATTTTCAATTTCATAATTTTGTAGACAACATATTGCCAACCCCAAGCAGGAATCCTGTCTCCTTGTGACACATAGTAACTTAAGTATTAGGTCATTTAAATATATTATGTTATATTTGTTTTTACCTTGATTGATGAAATTAATCTTCATAAGTTCACCCTTTACACAAAAGAATAAATTACTTATCTATGTTAATAAATATCAGCAAACCTGTCGTCTAGTGACACCTAGTGACTAGCCGGAGATTTACTTTATGTTTATTTACCTTGATTGGTTATGTATTGATTTAAATTTCGTTTTTATCCTACTGTTTTGATACTGAGAACGTTTTTTCTCAATTATGATTCATCATAAAAATGAAAAAGGCCAAAAACAAGTAACGTGCATGCGCATACTTACATGAGTTGATGCCTTTAGATTTGTGCCTAACTGTGAAGGGCCTGAAATAATGAAATAATGGGAATGTGAAACAACCGATAATGAACATTTCCAGAATTAGCTTCCAAGCTTCTGCAAGTGTGGTCTAGTCATGTTGTTTGCCGACGCTCCAGCAGGGGGCGCAAGAGTTCACATCCACGAAGAAGACACCAAGTCTGACGTCATCACCTGGGCGCCAAATCTGCAACAACAACACGCGAGAAATCTTGCACTTTTATCAGGTACAAATTAAACATATGCCGCCAATTTAATTGTGAAATAGATTTTAAAAGCTCTGTATATTTACTGATGTGTTTGTGTTGCACGCACAATACTTTAGTTTCGTTTAGTTTATTTGTTCTGATAGTTTTTAAAGCACGTTTTTCTGTATTTTGACTGAACAAATGACAACATATCCCCTTCTGTATTTTGGGAGAGATCAGATTAGTTAAAAGTATGAACATCTGGTTTTGGATAAATCCAGTGGGACAGGGGACACAGGGCTTAAAGCTGGGACTGTCCTGGGCCAGTAGGGACGTCTGGTAACCTTAGACTCAAAGCAGAATTACTCATTTCCACCTTCAGTCCCTGAACAGGTTGTCATAAATGGTGTACATGCCAGTAAACCACCACCATCCTTTAGCTTTTCGTTTGACGTTCAGGTTCTTTGTGCTGTTACTCATATATTGGCGTGGGTTGTTGTACAGAAGCAGAGATGGACCTCGGCCCATTTGAAGAAAACAACTCTGTCAGCTGCAGACTGTCCTCAGAGATCCCAAGTATGTGCCTGGAAGAGGACTGCTGTCTGGGCATCGATGAGGCTGGCAGAGGACCTGTTTTGGGTATGTCCCATTTACATTTTGGCCATGTCTCTATTCTCTTTCATTGCTGTCTTCTCGATTCCTCTGCTCCTCTCTCCTCGTGGTGTCTCCTCTGTGGCTGGTACGTCATCTCCCATTTGCTGCAGAATTGAAGAGAGGAATCAAGGAGAAGGAGGCGAGGAAAGAGAATTGAGACATGTTTTTTTATGTACATACACAAATATACAGCTAAACTGATTGTTGATATGACACAGGACCTATGGTATATGGGATTTGTTTCTGCCCAATTTCCAAAAAAGAAGACCTGAAGGATATGAAAGTAGCAGGTAATGTATTTGTTTGTTAGCATTGTTACCATTGTCTTTTAATTGACATGTTTCTGTCACTGATTAGATTCAAAGACCCTTACTGAAGCAGAAAGGGAAAATCTCTTTGAAAAATTGGATGAAGCCAAGAGTTTTATAGGCTGGGCTCTGCAGATCCTCTCTCCTAACACAATTTCTACCAGCATGTTACAAAGGTTTTAACGCAACTATAATATTTTTTTACACAGATTTTGCATTGATCTTTATTTACAACAATTGTACTCTGACTTTTTAGATCAAAATACAATCTGAATGCCCTTTCGCACGATACAGCTATTGGATTGGTTCAGTATGCCCTCGACTGTGGAGTACAAATCAAAGAGGTTGTTTTTAATTATTGAGCTTAAGAAGAAAGATTTTTTTTGTTTTAGATTCTTTCCTCACGTGGCCTTCTGCTTAGTTTATCTATTTGCTATTCCCCAGGTTTTTGTTGACACAGTGGGACCTGCAGATAAATATGAAGACAAGCTTTCTAAGCGGTTCCCTGGTATTACAGTTACAGTGAGACCCAAGGCTGACTCACTCTTTCCTGTTGTCAGTGCAGCCAGTATCTGTGCAAAGGTATGACCCAAAACACAAGAGGTTTCCAACTTAAAGCTCATTCACAAAATATAATTCATTTTTGTTCAAATGGATGTAATGAAAGATTTAGGATTTATTGTAATCTTACAGGTGGCCAGGGATCGAGTTGTAAAAGGCTGGAACTTCACTGAACAACTCGGTCAGGTGGACACTGACTACGGATCTGGATATCCTAATGGTAAATAGGATACTGGTTAGAAACATTCAATGCAAACATTAAATTTTTTTTTTCCAATCCATTCCAAACTGCAAACAGTATATTTTATTTACAATATAATTTCTTTATAATTGTTTACAGACCCAAAGACAAAAGCCTGGCTGTTAAAGTACCTAGACCCAGTGTTTGGTTATCCTCAGTTTGTTCGCTTCAGTTGGAGCACGGCGCAAACTTTGATGGACAGCAAATCAGTTACAGTTCACTGGTAAATCTTTGTCCAGTATTTATTATTGCACTGAAGGAAGTGTGTTGTACAGTCATCAAAGGTTAAATTCAGGATGTTATTAATTGGTAATAATTTACATATATATTTTGAAGTTAACCATTGCATTTATAGCACATTTCAAGACACCCAAAGAGCTTTACATGTCCCATTAAGAATACTAATCTCTTTTTCACAGAAGTCCAAGACATCAGTACAGTATATCAATAGGCAATCACAAGAATTTAGTTCACTGAAAAAAGTTACGAACTATTGATCAATTTCCAAACCTTTTAATATTAATTTAAAATGACTTATTGGAATCAGTTGTTTTAGGCTCCAGTCCTTTTGTAAATGATTCCACGTTGCTGAAAAGCACGTTTTTGTGCAAACACTTGGTACAGAACATAGCACTGAGTCTCTAGATCCCAAAGAATACTGTCCATCTGTTGAATATATGTGATAGTTCAAATAAGTGTTCATTTTATTCTTGTTTTGTCTTTAAAAAGGGATGATGACGAGGAGGGAGGAGAAAAGGGTGCACAGAGGCTGAAAAACAAGTCCATGTTGTCTTACTTCGGTTCCTCAGCAGCAGCTCAGAGTCAAACTGCTGCTCACCGCTTCTTTTCGGACCGTAGATTGAAAAACGACACACTTTAAACATAATTAGGTAAAACAGAAACTGTCATCCAACTCACCATTTTGTTTAATCCATGTATTTCAGTAAAATATTGTATATATTAACAGTCATTTTTTACAAATGGGTTATGTCTAAATTTATTTAGTTTGAAGGAAGTATTTTGTATCACCAGGAAAAGCAGTTGTTATTTTTATTGTGCTACTGCCCTCTACTGTTTAGGTACCATTGCTGCAAGTTTACCATCTATAGAATGGTATGCACATTTTCAGTGGGTAAGATAAGCATACATAAAATATATTTCTCAAAAACACATCCTGAATTACTATAGATTACTACACTAGGCTCTTTTCTCTTGAGCAATTCTTGTGAATGGCTTCATACTACAATCAAGAATGACATAAGCAGTTATATGCTTGTCTAGACTAAACACAAAACAGACACTGTTTAGAAAAATAAAACAATTATATTTAAAAAGTCTTCATTTTTGTGCTAGTTCACAAGTGGTTTGGGTCTGGACTCCTCCCAAACCCTCTTACCACAGTTCATGGCCAAAGAGGAAACCGCAAACGAAGACAAGATCACAATAGAGCTCCCCATGAAAAGAGACGAGGGTCCTCTGGGCGCCGCTCTCAGGGCTTTCCTCGTAAACGTCTCTCTGTCATAGGCTGATGTGCGGCCAACAGATTCCATTTTGAAGGATGTCTGGAAGTTATTCCAAAGATCAAAGGTGAAGAAAAGAAGAATTTCCTTTCTGGTTAAATATGATGAAGTCCTGCTGAGTGTGTCCTCTGCTGTTGTGCTGTCTGATCTGACTCCACCTTTAGACCTTTACAGGTCCATTTATAACCTCCTAGTGTCCCAGACTAATCTGCCTAAGTCTCCCGGTGTCCTGCTGCGTCAATGGGATTAAAATAGGTAGTTCCTTGCTGCAGCACACAAAGGTGGTGATCTATTTCAGCTTAAGACTACCAGGGTAATTCTTTAAGATCAGCTCTGTCCTGATGAATGAGTGTGTATAGAGCCTGATCTGCAGCTTGTCAAAAGTGAACAGGGTCTGTAAACACTGCATTAAGTTTAGTTTACAAGCACATGTGAGTCACCTGAGCCATTTTCTCACACATGACCAACTCTGCATGTTTGGCTCCTTTGTATAGGCCATTGCCATAAATGTGTCTTTCATATGTAGTGTGTTTTGGCTTCACTGTGTTGTCTTGTTTGAGTCTGTGTGTATCTGAGGGAGTTGTTCATTGTACTTTCATTGTTTGATTAATTGTCATTGAATGAGAAAATAATGCAAGAAATAACTATTTAGGCTTGAAAGAGATATCAGATATGGTACAAGATCTTGTTCCAGCTTCAGCAATTACAAATATGGAAAGTAAATTTCACATTATAATTTAATTTAATTTAATTGTAATTTATAATATATATTTTGTCTCACCCTTATACACAGCCAATAAAGTCAGAATGTTTAATATTGCAGCAATATACATAAATTACATCATTTACATGTAAAATGTATTTCCATTCACCTCTTGCCCTCAGGATCAGCAGAAAAAAAATAAATAAAAATGACGTATATATTATTCTAAGCAAAATTACTTCAGTTCTTCCCACACAGAGCAGGCCAGAAAGAGATGTAAATAGCACTGAGTTTGAATCGTTTCTCAGATACATAGCACCAATGTAAAGCATAAATGTCCAAATATGTATACTATGTGTAAATATGTATACTTGCACTTAGATATTGTACACATAGAAATATTTTTTATTTATATTGTTATATTCTTACATAGAAGGGTTCATTTCAGCACCATGGACAACTCTATGACCTATCACTGATCCCACACGTAGTGACACAATCTCTGCTCTTTTAATCACGCACTAATTGGATTGCACTGGTGTTTTTCCACAGCTGACACAGAAAAGATCCCATGAATGAACATGTAGTACTGAGCCAGTTCATTGATGCTCCTAGACAATAACAGGCGGTTAATTAATTAGTTAATTAATTAAATATTAAAAATCGTTTAATCAAATACTACTTTTGTCAATCTAAGTGTGTGATATGTGTGATTAAAAAGGTAAGAAGAGTCACCAATAAACTGCACAATAAGACTTTGATGTGTATGTAATGTTATTCAGTATAACTCTTGTTTTCATAATCTACTACACAGAGAAAATAAATGTGAGTCTTGGATGATGTCATAGTGAGTGATCCAGATAAAATGGCTTCTTGCTTAATTTAAATTGAAGTAACATCTCGTGTCCACTGGGGGGCCCTCTTGCCATAAATGCAAGCTGCCTGTAGAAACATTAGTGAAGTAATCGCTGTATTTATCATGTTTTTGTTAAACGCGTGTTATTTATTTTATGATGAAGCCTTGTTACTGTCCACAGTGCAAACACTCACAGAGCACTCAAACCCTGCATATCTTAAACTGATCTTTTTATGAGAGAACGGTAGTGAATAGAGGAACATACTCCATAACCCACTTGAGCCTGGTTCATTTGCATAAATTCTCGCTCTTAAATCAGCCTCCTCTTTTCACTGTCTTTGTGAGCTGTGTGCCCGAGCCCCCCAATCATGTGGTGTTTTATTTAGAGATCTTTCCACTCCGGCCTTTTGCACAGCTGTAGTCTGTGACCCACTTCTGCTCAGACACGAGCTGAGAGGCAGGTAGGAGCCTCGGGAGAAATGAACCGAGATGGTTTTAGAGAAGAGGCCAGAAAAAGGGTTCAAAAAAAAAAAAAAAAAAAAAAAAAAAAATCTGATATTAAAGGTGCACTAACTTTTCTGGTGGTGGTGGGGAAGGGTCTCCATGGAGATGTTATTGCTTTGCTTGGAATGTTCCACAGTATGAGGTGGGATTTTTACATCTCAAAAACACCTTGAAAAACATGCAGCCTCACAGAAGACGGACCACCTCTCCACATATTTAACTAGTAACTTAACACATCTGAACCCCTGAGCATCCCTTTTGCTCTATAAGCCATAGAGATAAATTAGAATAAGGATTAACCAATAAATGTAAAATGTACAGAGCCTAATTGATGTTTTAAATTTTATATTTTCTAAGATTAGAGCATCAAACAAATAAGAATTATATACACTAAATTATTTATATTTTTCAAAGTATCCGTCTGAGCCATTTTCTGGAAAAGACTGAATCGGGCTATCTCTTTGTGTGCAATAGTTCAGTTCAGCGCTGTAATGTGTAATGTGCCAATTAGCAGGAGCTTGCTAATGTGGCCTAGATGCCATATTAAAGTCCTTTTAGTTCACAGATGATGACAACTAATGAGAGATAAAACGGTGTTCCCCAGGTTCTCCAAGTAAAGTACATTAATATTGTAATTATATATGTGAGGCCAACTTTAAAAAGGGCATATTATGTAACATAGACTTTCATGAGCTTTTAAACATGTTATAATTAGAGCTGGGTTTCATTAAGAAGTTGCTGTTACAATACATACCTTGATACATAGGCCACGATGCGATACATATTTGGATACAGTGAGCTTTTGATTCGATATGATATATTTCAAATTGATTCAATACAGTTCAATAAGAAATAATGTCTAAATGATGGTTGTGATACTAAAAGTCTTTCTTAAACCACTTCTTGTGGAAAGTTTATATGAAACACACCCATTTTAATCATCAAAACAGTGAAAATGTCAAATGTGTTGCATAAATGAGTTTCCTTCCTCTAAACTAGTAACAAAACTGTAGAGCTGTTACAAGATAATTTAGTGAAATGTACCAAAAACTACTCTTGGTGATGTATCGATACAGCAGCCCACGATATCGATACTGTATCATCACATTAAACTATACAATATATTGAAATTTCAATATTTTTGCACACCCCTAGTCAGTGTTGTGAAGGTGACTTTTAAAATGTATTCCCCTACAGATTACAGATTACATACCCCAAAATATAGTTTGCAACGGAATCCATTAAGTTACTTAAAGTGAGTAACATAATCTGAATACTTTGGATTACTTGATTTGATGTAGGGAAGCAAAGACTAGGATACTTAACTGTATTAAAAATATTATTGATAGAAGAGGAGGAGACACGTTGGCGCAACATGGTTTAGTCCTGTTAAATCCTGTTAAATCCTGTTTTAGTCCTGTTTTAGTCCTGGTTTAGACCTGGTTTAGATCTAGTTTAGATCTGGTTTTAGTCCTGGTTTAGATCTAGTTTAGATCTGGTTTTAGTCCTGGTTTAGATCTAGTTTAGATCTGGTTTTAGTCCTGGTTTAGTCCTGGTTTAGACCTGGTTTAGTTTTCAGCAATGAGTGGAATTATCGAAAAATAAAAAAATTAAAATTAAAATAATGTGAAAACAGGAAAATACCGCAGAGGAAAATACCGCCACTTATTTTAACAAAGTAACTGTAATCCAATTACCACTCACTGAAACAGTAACTGTAACTGAATACAGTTACTCATAATTTGTACTCTGATTACGTAACTCCAGTACATGTAATCTGTTACTCCCCAACACTGCCCCTAGTTATAATGCTGTATTGTCACTCATTTGAGGCTTGTGTTCCCTATCTCCGACTACTACTCTGTACTTTGTTGAGATTATTAAAAAAATAAAATCTGACTCTAGGTGATGCATGTAAGCTTAAAAAAGGTCTTGTAGTCATCAACGTTAAAAAAGTAAATACAAAATTACACTGTTTTTCAAGGTGTAATAAAGGTATAAGGCAGCTCTTAATGAAAACTACCACTACATGACATCACAAGGTGGAACAGAGCATTTTGAGCTTTGGGGGATGTAAACTGCCAGACAATAAAGGATTACACTAACATGTGTGAATGAAACAAATGAAACAAAACACAACTTCAGGTATGTTTTTTAGCATTCTAACATGTCTTAAAGCTCACGAGAGTCCATTTTGTGAAATATATAACAGCTTTAACCTCGTCCTCAAACCCAGAGTGCAAGAGAAGGCAGACAGGCTCCCGGTGTTTGTGAAGAGATGTGAGCTGACATGCCTCTGGAGACTCTGCCCTGAACAGGAAATGGCCTGGCACACTCTGCATCCTCAACTTCCACCCCTGCCAAATGGAGAAAGATGACCATATAGCTCCCTTAGGCCACCACATAAACAATTACCTCATAAAAACAGCCTTAAATCCTGCATATAACACTGTGTTTGGGTTCATCCGCTCCAGCCGCTGTATCTCCCAGCGCTTAATGAACAAAAAGATGTAAAATTTATGCCTTCATCAATTATTTAATATTAATAAGTCGAGCAGCAGCGGTGAAATGTACAAGGGTATAGTCAGACAAGCTCTAACTGGGTGGTTCAGAGAAGGGTATTTTTTTATTTTTTGACTTATGACTCCACTCTAGGGCTGTGCAGTTAATCATATCTTAATTTAGAGATTCTGTCACTTCTTGTTGTAATTTGCTTGGGTCTTTCTGATCAAGGAGACTACATTCAATCCTCAGCATGTGGTTTCGAGCAAAGTCCAGACTTATCTATTTTTTTCTTTGTGTTAAAAGACAGTCATTAAAAGTCTGTATTGTTTGTGTTCAAGAATTATTTATTAGTAGTCATTATTTTTACAGAATTTGACTGAATAAGCTCAAAATTTGGTGTACTTTAAATGCCCTAACACACATGCTATGTAAATGTTATGATCAGTGAGAGCGCGGAATCACAGGGTCCCTCATGATTCGATACGATACTCAATACATGATGATATTATCACAATATGGTGATACATGTGATAATCGATACATTGCACATGATACTGTATATTGCTGTTTTTTAGGAACCAAATACGTTTTAGCAACAATATTTCTTTGTCAAACCACTGCTTGTACAAAATTCATATCAAATACATGTATTTTAATAATCAAAACACTGAATATGTCAAGTGTATTTAATATGTTTCCTTCCACTAAATAAGCAACAAAATGGTTGTGCCGTTACAAAAAAAAAATCTAAATTTAGTATCACGATATATTGAGATTAAGATATTTCTGCATACCTCTGTAATAAATAGACAGAAATGCCATAATGTGTTTCTTTGTTGATAATGAACTGACAACAAATACATTTTCTTTTGTATTGGAGGCTTTCGTGTTCACAAATGGATAATGTTCAGGTTTGGAAGTTATAAAAATAAGGTGAAAGTGAAGGTAAAAACTAAGTGCGGTCTGTCAGCACTAAATCCCAGTGAGAGAGTGCCAGACAAAAAGGGAACATTAAGATCTCGATGTTAAGAGCCACTACATCTCTCTGGTGTTTTAGAGCTGGAGTCAGACCAGCTGCACAGCACTTTGTTTTTTTTGTTTTTTTCTCCAAACATTGATCCGTCCCATCAACCACTTTTGGCCTCTAATGTCGTCCTGTTTTCTCTCTCATGACAATGTTCAGTACAAATGTAAATACAATCAAACACTACCATGTGAATGCGAAAGTGGAATTTAAATAAGAATAACAGAAGTACTTTAGTTTAAAACAACAACAACAAAAAAAACATCCTCATCAAAAACATCCCTGGAGTTTTGTTTTGTTTCATTTGCATGTTTGACACACAAATCCTGCATATTTCTCTCAAAAAAAACCCACTCTGTTCCACCTTGTGATGTCATGTACTAATACAGGAAGTGCTCCACTGTGTTTTTAAACTCCATAAACCTTCACTAGAATCATTTGGATCATTTCAGTTCAGGAATTTCCAATCTCTACTAAACAAAAGGAAAAAGGAGCTGTTAACTTGAAAGCTTCATGATATCAAAAGGTGAAACAGAACATTTTGAGCTTTGAAGATGAATAAAGGAATACTCAAACTTCTGTAAACGAAACAGAAACAAAACACAACTCCATGTTTTTGAGGAGGTAACAACATTATAACATGGTTTAAAGATTACAACAGTTCATTTTGTGTAATATACGACCTTTAAAGACTGTTGCTATGAATATCTTATAACATTATATTTGCATTGTAGGTTTATACTTGCATAATAGTACTAGAAAACATGGACAGACATTAAGGCAAAATTCTGAGGGTACTGCTTTTATGCCCTGTATGCTTCCTGTAGTAAGTGGTAGGAAAGACTTTGAATGGGGCAGATCTTTCTATGCTCATTCATTAACATGTGGATGAAGGACTTGAATTAAATGAAGTGAAAGGAGCTGTGAAATGCGATGGCAGTGAATCCCTTGACAGATGTGTTGAATAATGCATGACGCCTGATGACATTTTTGGTTGGAAATTGGAAGAGCTCTACCTGAATCACAAATGCAGTCCACAGTGATTCAAATAGAAGAGATCACAGATAAACCTGTTTGTATTTGTGAGTTTGTGAGAGGTGTAAGACTCAAAGTAACAGTTTCAATATAGCCCTGTTACGATTATTACTGTATCTCCTTCAATATACAGTATGAAAGCAACAATATAAACCAGTATAGGCTATTTGAAGCTCAGTGTTTATCGTGAGTGCATTTTCTTTGCAAAAGTGGAGGGATATTTGTTATTTTTGTTGTAATATGATCAGATTTGAGCTGTAGGGAGTTGAATAAGTGACTTCTATGGCTAATTATTTGTTGGTCTGTTATTTATTTGCCGCTGCCCAGGCCTTTTAATGATACTGTCTGTTTAAAAAAATGGTTTACTGCGCTGTTTACCTGCTTTATTTTAATTGTGTCAGTGGCATGAAGTAAAATGATCTTTTATATTAATATATCATGCTTCAAAAATTGTTATCATGATGGGCCTAATTCTAAACATATTTCTGTGGTGACTAATGTTACCACGCATTGCCAGTAGCTGTAAAAGAGTGAGGCTGAGTTAACTGTATGTTATGAGCTCATGAGGCATGTAACATTTAGTCAACATTAAAGGTGCACTGCAGTGTTTTCTGGTGGAAAGTCCGCTGTCCATTTGTCTCCATGGAGATGTTAATGCTTTCCCTGGAATATCCTGTGGTATGACTTTAAACCAGCCAACATTTATCCATTCCGAGTGTTTATATTTAGCAAGGCTGGCGCCACCTTGTCCCTCCATTCAGTTTAATTTCTCTCCAGTGACTAGGTCAGGAATCGGAATGCACTAGATGGTTTGCAAGAACCCCAGAAGTGGAAGTTCGGGCACCAGTCAATCAGCGAAGAGCCATACATTCTGTGTTGTCAACAATTCCCGAGATCAAGGATTTAAAGCCGGAACAAAGAGAATGTTTGGAGAATTTTATCAAGGGGAAAGATGTTATTGCCCTTCTTCCTAGGGGATTTGGGAAAAGCTTCATGCACCAGTTAGTCCCGTTAGCGAAGCATTATATACATCACGACCAAATAGCAGTGACTGGTTAAATAAAAAAAAAAGTACCCATCTACCACTACCGTCGAGTGAACGAGTACTCATGCTGCGAGGTCAGACGATTTCCATGAAGTGAAGCCGTCTAATGAATGAGTCTAGTTTCTATTGGTCAAAAATACAAAGAAGTAACGAATGAATTAATCTTTATTTGGACACTAATGCACTGAACATGCATAGAAAATGTAAATACATAGATATAAAAAACAAAAAACAAACTTATTTTCTGTAACAATTAACAAAAATAAATGTCATGTAGATTTTACTTGTATGAAAAGGAGTGAGAGGACAACAATTCCTTTTGTGAATAGGGGCGACTCTCCACAGATCTGAACTGTAATAGAGCATAGCGCTATAACCTGATGGTCTCCTTTGTGATAGATAGGTTTAATTTATACTGTGGAACATTCTAGACAAAGCAATAACAATTCAGTGGAGACAAGCAGGTGGCGGACCCTCCACTCGAAATGTTACGCAGTGCACCTTTCATTTAGCCTGCATAGTTCGCCTGCCAAATAGGGTCGAAGTCTCTCTCCATTCTGAGCAGCAGCCTGTTTTGTACCAGCACGTTTGGCCACGCAGGGGTTAAACGTCATTTGGTAGTAGGAAGTGGGTGGTAGAGGATGAAGATGGTGAGGATCCTGTGAGGCAACAACCAGCTACACATCATTTTAGCGAGAAAAGCGGCGAAGGGCAGGACGGATCCCACCGCTGACAAACGCGCGGACAAACCTGCAGTTTCGAGATAATAGCGCTGTTTTTGGACCGACCTGTTTTTGGCGCGGAGCTCTGCCCACACGGACGCTGTCGTGTTTTCATTCGTTTTTGCCGCGGGATTTTCCCCCACCGTCCCAGTCTGGATAGCATAGAGAGACATTTCTAACAATAATTGCAGCGTTACCAGCTCTTTGCACAGATAATATATGTAGATCTCGGCTTTCTGATGTGGTTGTGGTGCACCGTCAGTAATTTACGCACGGTAATGGATCAGATTTACCGATATTTCCTTTAGATTACATGGTGTGCGGGACAATGACTCGGTCTGAATGAATGGGCTGGACGTGTTTGCTAACTTGTCTGATCTGCTTTGGACCGACAGCTTGGCCTTTTCCTCTCCGGTGTCCCTCTCAGTTGCACGCTGAAGCCATGTCTGCAGATGGACGCAGCCCGTAGTATTTCTGTGTAGTATTTTTATTTCTATTAAAGTCTCCCCGTGGTCAGAATGGGATGCCCGAGGTCACAAGTGGCGCACGCTCAAGTTCATTTCCTCGCTTTTAGGTTTTTGGTGCCGATACAGAAGTGACTTTTCTCTCATGGCATGGTACTGTAGCATCATTGTCGTGTTGTGTTCAAAGTAGAGATAATATGAAGAGCCTGGGACAGTGTGGTGTCCACTGTTGTTGAGGACACGCGCCTTTTCTGTAACCTGGCAACCACAGCAACCACGCGACCTTGCTGCAGGTCTGAGCCCGGGCACGCGCCATGGATGACTCCGGGATCATCCGAAGACGGAGGATGCAGGTAAGACCATGAAAATAATCTTTATTCTATTGAAATGCTCCTTCAAAGAGTGAGCAGTTCACAAAATACTCAAATCATAATAATAGTAAGAATAATAATGCATTAGTTTTATATAGCGCTTTTCTGGACACTCAAAGACGCTTTACAGAGCATTAAATAAATATAATAAACCTCACAATAGACTTAGTTACAGCCTAATAACTTTTAGCATTTTGAGTACTCTACTGTTTTTTTTGTTTTGTTTATATCTCAGTTAATGTTTGGCGTCTGAGATTTGCAAGCAGGTCACAATCAGCCTGTAGGTTATTGGTTTTTGACCACGTGAACCCAATGAACTTTGTGCAGTTGTGTCATCCCATGTGTGTGAAAAAGAAAGAAAGAAAGAAAGAAAGGAAGAAAGACCTCTAGTTGAATGAATTTTTAAAATGTCAGTGTTGTCTTTATGGATACACGCAAAGGACCAGATGGAATAAAAGGATTTAAAATGTACCACCCAGTACATTGTAATCCAATAACAATGCCAGTCTTTCCTTGTGTTCTTTTACATTTGTTGAGCCTGCGTTACAGTCTCGTGTAGGTGTATTATTATATTTGCATGAAATTCGATGATGTAGCCATTTAGCCCTCATGTCAGACAAAACAAGCCTCCGGTAAAAGCTTCCAGCCAGGCTCTGGGATGGGGCGCCGAATGAGTCAAGTGTAGCCCTAGAAGCCACAGCTCACTTCCAAGCCATTATCTGTGCGTGCCCCTCTGCTTCTCTCAGAACAAATTTACAGTAAATGCACTCCGCCGCATATTGCACGCTTAGGCTGCTGTAGATGATTGCTTATCATTCATAAACACAAGACGTGCACAGCTGGAAGACCATACAAAGGCTGTCGCTGATATTATTAGAATCAACATGACTGACTTCGACTACTATGTCCCGTGCTGCTATTGTTAAGACCTGTTGGATTAAAGCGTTTGCTAAATTAAAGATGCTCAGATAAGTCTCTTCTTTATATAGACAAGGTGAGAGACATTCTGGTCTAAGACACCTTCAAATCCATTTTTTGCCTCAGCTCTTCCCTGCTAGCTCTGAGCCTCTGTGTGGCAGCTACAGTGTAATTTTCCAAGCAGTGATGTAATGTTTTTGTGTTTGGTGACTTGTGCACAGCTTTGTTGTCAGCATGGGTCCATTCAGCAAAAGCACGTCACTGGAAACATGCAGAAGTTTGTCATCACTGAAAATCACTCAATCAATCAAAATAGTGTAGGTTAATTCATTGTTTGTGGTTTAATTATCATAACAAATACATGTTTCTGGCACAATTTTTTACTTGGCAAGAAAAAACATCCTCATAGGCCTGCTACAATAATTACTATGTAGACTTATCGTTTAATGAAAACTGGAACAATATAGTTTGAAGCTCAGTATTTATCATGGGTAGTTTTTCTTTGCAATAGCGGTAGATGGTAGAATACATAACTTCTATGGCTAATTATCTGTTTGTTCTGCCATTTATTTGTTGCAGTTCAGGTTTTTTAATGATTCTGTCTATTTAAAAATTGGTTCACTGGCCTTATCTTGCTTTGTGTCATGAAGTAGTAGTACCAGTAATATTATCGTTTATCACAATATTTATCTATAGCAATATATCATGCTTCAAAATGTGTTATCATGACAGGACTATCCTTACAAGCAGTGAGGCGTGGGGCAAAGATATCGTTTAGATGATGAAAACATAGTGGCTTCTGTCTGCACACACATAAGAAATATAACTGGAGTAGATGGACCCAGCGAACATCCTCTGGAGCCACACCTCACCTCACTTTTAATGAGCACAGCACTTCAATAGACCAAATTCTATAAAAGTGTAATATTAACGTAGTTTGTACGAGCCATCATACTGACTCCACCATCGGCCCTCTGTGCGTTTCCATTGACAAAGTGGTCGATATCCATATCTCAAACAGAGAAAGGCTAAATGCTGAGGTGCAGTTGTCGGGCCCATTAGCAGGACTAATGGTGTGTCCTGGGGGAATAGAACCGACCACCAGCAGCAGCAGCAGCAGAAGGGCTCCGGACTGAAAGGGCTCAGGACAGGATGAGGTGGGCCTGAGGAGGGGGAGGCCCCGCATACATGTGGGCTACTGTAGACTCCTTTAAGAGGCTATTACAGCACTGGGATCCCCTTATGGGCAGGGTCTACTTCCTCTGCAAAGAGGTCAAGTTACAACTCCGGACTCTACACAGCCACAGGTAACAGAAGATGCTGGTCCTATTCAGCCTAGCTTTGTATTGTGTAAAGTGCGGCATAGATTATTTGGAATAATAGTGACTAGTTGTATTTTTGATCAACAATATCTGGACTCAAAAACAGCTTTTGTAGCTAACCCTATATTAAGGGACTATTTTTGATTTTCAACGATAATTAACTTAATTTGAATATATTATCTATATCTTGAAGGTTTCAGTCACCATATTTCAATCTTTATTTTGTTAAAATGTATTTAAAACAGTTACTAACTTGTGTTTACAACATGCATAGATGCTTTGCACTGTTGAGACTTTTAAGACACTTTATTGTATGGAGTAACACTATCTTCACCACAAATCGCTGTTCGAGTTAGCACTATGCCTCTCACTTCCACTTTGCTGTAGCTTAATTTGTCTAATATTTTGTTCTGGGCAGCGTGCCACTCTTCAATATGCTAAGCACTAGAGATAGCCCTGTGATCACTCCAGAAGAGGTGGTGCTTTCTGCCAAGACCTGTCCCTCTCCACCTTCAGACTGCACTGTCCTGTCTCCAGACTCTGAGTAAGCAGTATCCCAAACTGTCCTGATGAAAGCAAGTGGGGATGACTTTGATATTTAAATATAGACCAGATATTACATCAGATATTGGACTTGATTTTCTGCCTGTCTGGTGAAGTTATAATTGGATACATTCCACTTTTAACTTGTTGGGAAAAGTTTACTCTATCTTTCAGTTCTTTAATGAGACCACAAGTTTTGAACAGAAATCTAAAACTGGCACCACTTTATAATTACTACACCTTAATTAGCCTTAATAACACATGAAGAACGACTGAATTAATGATGAACAAATACTTTATTAAGAATGATTCAGGCTTAGTAATTGCAAAATTAAGGGTTTAGAGCAGGGGTGTCAAACTCATTTTGTTCCGGGGGCCGTATCCAACCTGTTTTGATCCCAAAGGGGCCGGATCAGAAACTTCATGGCATATAAACCCCAAAAATAACAATAAGTTCAAATATTTGTGCAGAGAAACACAAATCTATTACAGAAATCTTTTTTAATTGATGAGCTCTTTCCTATTATAATATTATAATATTATGAACAACCTGAAACTTTAAGAAAAATTCAATTTCAACACAGTGTTTTAACATTAGCTTGTATGTAAATAGGAATAAGTCCATTTTTGTTGTAAAATCCTGCACTGGGCTCCACTTTTCTCATTTGTGACATTTTTCTGATGAGGGTGTCACGGTCAACAGTCAAAACGATCGTCCTTTAAGAGCGTTTGGAAAGAGACAAGTGTTCATTTGCGCTGCTCTGGTGGGAGGGGCCACGCACAGAGGCACTGGAGATGCTGCTGTGATAACACCACAGAAAATTAACAAGATTTTAATAGAAAATATTAAAATATTTGAGTAGAAAATCACCCAAGGGCCACATTAAAGGTCTTGGAGGGCCGGATCTGGCCCCCGGGCCTTATGTTTGACACCTGTGGTTTAGAGTATTAATTAAGTACTTATTTAGCCTAATTCATCCTTGATAATGATCTATTTGTTCATTATGCATAAAGTGTGGTTATTATAAAGTGTTAGCCTGAAGCTTGTTACTTGAGGCTGTTGCTGCAGAGCAATCTGCTGTCACTTTACAGCTCTGCCCACAACAGAAACACATTATCATTCTCTTTTGTCTTGGTCACTGTGGGTTTTTCCTTGGGTAAATATGAACCTAAAAAATACAAAATTGTTACAGAATTGTGCATATTGCAAATACTTTGTAACCAAATGAACCCACACAGGGTCAAATTTAAAACTGTGCAAAAGTTCAGTAAAAATGCTGCATTGGTTGTCATGGTCACTCAGAGTATTGTATGAGTGGTAGTTTCATGGCAACAACACGTACAGTGGCTGCATTTGGACAGACAGTGTGGGGTAGCAGGTGTTGAGGTTTGATCCATTAACTATCCCATCACCCCGCACACACCCGCATATTCTTTTACGACTCTGGGGTCGCCCCCTCCTTTCTCTCTGAGTCACCCTGGGCGCTTTCACTTCCTCTTGATCATAGACTCATTAGCTCCCCCAGAAAATGCTCTCCACTGTAATGAGTGATGTCATTCCCAGACATATGACCACTTGCTCCGACCACACACAAAGCAATCCCAGAATAATGTTCAGACGCCCCCATTCTGGACTTCGTGTTATGTTACAAAAATTGCACAGTTTTTTTGAAAACACACAACCAGGCAGGGGAAAAAAAGCCAAATATTGAACTACTTACTCAGGACTGAATGTCTACTGTCTAGTGCCCCATGACTCAGATAACTGCACACATACAAAAGGGACTGTACAAGATTAGGCCTGGCTCACAGCAAAATAACTAATTATGGGCCCAGAATGAACATATAATATGTAATTGCAGCTTTGCTATTCTCATTAATTTAGTTTAAAGATGAAATTCAACCCCAAAATCAGCGGCTCCAAAAAGTGGTTCTGGAGATAATGATACCAGCACAATTTTAGCATACATTAGCAAATAGCAAGTCAGCGAGGCCATAAGTTATTACAGAGTGTTTGTGATTCCCAGTGGGGTTCCAAAGGCCTGCTGGCTCCTCATAGCTTTATGTTAAGTGCATGTTTTAATGTCTCGCTGTGCTGCTGCCAGAGGTTCTGTTTTACAGTATTAAGTCAAAATTATTTTTTGCAGTTTTTGACAGAAAAGATACCATCTGTAATGTGCCAAAATTACTACCAAATGAAGAATTAATACTAGTGATTATATGGATTATTTGAGTATATATTTGTTGAAATGAACTGAATTTAGAACATACATACAGTATATGCATTTCAAGTGCAGTTTTCTTCTTTATGTTACATGTTAGATTCTAGGCCTTATAAATAAATCAGATCAAGAAAATGTTTCAACTGATCAATGAATGCCTAGGTACTTTTTTAAAGTGTGTTTCTAAATCTGAACATGTACTAGTATGTGTGTATACTCTACTGGGTAAAAAACAAACTTTGCCATAGAGAATGTATTTTACATGCATTTCAGGGCTTGTGGTCACATGTCCTTCACAGTCTCTTTATCCGTGAAAAGGCCAAAGATGGTATCTCCAAATCAGATCTGCGGAGGGGCCGAGAATGACTCGATAAGCATCCCAGGACAGACTCACGTGGGGAATTGACAGTAACCTGATCTCACCATAGTCTTGTGTTAAATAGAATCAGATCAGGGAAAGATGGGCAACAAGCTCTATAAAAGATCCATCCCAGTGGATCCTAATCACATCACAGCCCTGTAATGCCATAAATACACCAGCAACTAATTTTGAATTGATGTTAGCTCCATCACAGTGCCAGATGTCCTTCTGCTTTCTCTTGCATAAAAGCACTACAAAAATGTGATTAACAGGCGGATTAGCCAATCAGAGAGATGAATGCTCCGTTCATGTCAGAAACAAACATGGCTGCTTACATGTTAAAAAGGGGAGAAAACAACATAAAGAACAGAGAAACAGCATGGATTTTCTCAGAATCAACACGCAAAGGTACAAAAGTAAAAGAAGTTATATGTTTTGTTCTGAGAATTGTTAGGAGAATTTTGAAGAGGAGATGTCTTCCGCATTTGAGGGACACATGTTACAAATTAGTAGCCAGGCTGGCACCACCTAATGCCTCCACTCAATTTCATTTCTCTCCAGCAACTAAGCCAGGAATCAGAATACACTAGACAGTTTGCAAAAACCCTGGAAGTGCAAGTTCGGGCACCAGCCAATCAGCGAAGAGCCCTATAGTGAGTGTTGTCAACAACTCCCGAGATCAAGGGTTTAAAGCTGGAATAAAGAGAATGTTTGGTGAGTTTCATCAAGGGGAAAGGCGTTATTGCCTTTCTTCCTACGGGATTTGGAAAAGCTTAATATACCAGTTAGCCCCATTAGCAGCACATTACATACGTGACTACCAAATAGCAGTGATTGGTTACATGATAAAAAGTACCCGACCTACCGCCGAGTGAACGAATTCTAACACTGCGAGGTCAGATGGTTTCTACGAAGTGAAACTGATGAATCAGGCTAACAAATTAGCAGCTGTGTTTGGACAGTTTCAAGTTTGGACAGAGGTTTTTCATGCTTTATGGACTGGTACCAGTTCCTCCTGGATTTGAACAGAATGTAGAAGGGACTGGCTGGGCAGGCAAGTGTTTTCCACTGACCCAAAGGTTGGAGGGTCGAATTCCTTTCTTGACATAAACATCAGGGTCAGATCCACTAACCCACAAGTTGGCGACCCAGCTTCTTCCGATGAATGCTGTCATTGTGTCTTTGGGCAAGACACTTAACCCACCTTGCCATCAGTGTCTTAGTACACTGGTGTATGAAAGTGTGTGTGAATCGGTGGCTTTGAGTGCTGTAAAGGTGGAAAAGTGCTCTGTAAAAAAACAATCACTGTACAGTATCTAATGTAATAAATGTGTAATGTATAAATCCTTTTCTGTTTTTTGTTTCTCTCCACAGAAGGACCTACCTCTGCCTCGCAAAAGTAGCAGGTGAGTTTGTGCATGCTTTGCGAATAAAGGATATTTTTATAGCTTTTTAGCACTACTTTCCCTTTGGTGGCCATCATAAACTATATATCTAAATCTCAGCATGAAAACAGCATTCACAGATCTGGATCATATTTTCACTTCGGCGAAAGTCTTGTTCGAAAGCTTCCTGCATGTTTAAACCTTGTGGGAGCCTGAGCCTGCAAAGTGTCTTTTTCTGAGGCCAATCTGTTGCACCACTGAGCTGTGCAATGGAGGTTCAGCTGTAAAAGTGGCCCACTGTGACCTTAAAGCCCGCGTGGTCCAGGACGGCAGTAAGCATAGCATTACAAATAGGTTAGAGCATGTCGTCCAGATAGTGCACCAAAATGTCTCCTTTTTGCTTTCTGACTTTGCCACAACAAATAGTCTGCCTTTCTGGCATAAAGGGATTTTTCATACAAGATCTTTATACATCTACATGATTAATGAGGCTTTTGTTTGTTCTAGTGGGTGATACAGTGTACTGATACTTTATGTATGGCAGTTTACAATTTAAACAACACATTTTCAGGAGCCTGCGATTAATACTAGTGCTCTTCGTCCTGTTTAGGTGTTTGATTTTCAACAAAAAAAGTTGCGAATGAGAAACTGTTGGCTGATGCTAGCTAGCTTGTGACTAATTTGATGTCTGACAGACTTGTTTAACAACACAAATCATCCCACCTGTAGTTCCAACTAAATCAGATCTCTCTGGTCAGATTGCATTAAATTAATTCTCAGATTAAAGCTTCAGATAGAGCAATGCTTACAGTTAATGTCACACCCTCATAAAATGTTGATGACATCAACTCCAAAGTATCAACAGATCGGTCACTATTTTATATTGGTTAATATTTTGACTTATGAGAACCAAATAAAAATGTCTGCAACATGAACATAAAAAATGCGGACTTTTTATCAGTGCAGATTTTTCATCAAATTTCTTCCTCCAAAGTTTTAATTCTGCTCTAAACTTCAGGCTTTTACTGATGACTGGTTTTAGACCTTTCAATAAAAAATCCTGATTAAAATTCAATTAAGTGCACAGCCCCAGTTTGTTCTAAATGTTATGTGAAATAACAGCGGCCATGTTTTATTGCTTATAAGTGTTTTCAAAAATGAGTGCCAGGTACATTGTGAGATTTGGCAAGACGTGTTATGGCTTCCGATAAAGGCAGCCACGGTTGGCTCCTCCACAGAGATGACTTATATTTAGAAACTTAATTAGAAGACCTGTTTCCAGTGCCAGTTAGAGATCATCCTCTGAGTTTTGACAAAGACGTGTTATTAATATGTGGAATACAAGCACTCAACCTCCCCATTTTTTGTATGGTCGCTATCCGTGGTCCTGAAATCTTCTACGCTTTTTATGTTGTTTATATCTCAAAACATCTTTGGTATTTAATCACTCGTGTCTTGTTATTAGTCAAGCTGCTTTGTATGTTTCTGTATTTAAGCTAATGCTGTTTGAAAATTTTATTAAACATTATGTAAATATATTATAAAAACATCAGTCTAAAATAGCATGGCTATAGGAGGAGGAAACTATGCATATCCTCGGGTTTATTTTAGGCCTTCTTCTTATTGGTCAAACTGTCCACTGTCCATAATGTTGGTCAAGACAGAATACTGTATCAATATAGCGTCTAGATGTCTCTCTGATATGTGCATGGTCCCTCTATATGTCCTTTGTCATGGTGTACTCCAGGGGTCATTTAAAGGGTTCATATTACACTATTTTCTGATCTATGTTATAATGTAGTTCATCAAAAACATATGGGAAGTTGTGTTTTGTTTCATTCACACATGTTTAGCACACAAACCCTGCATATTTATACTGAGTTCTTCTCTCAAACAGAACAGACTCGGTTCCACCTTGTGATGTCATGTAGTAATACAGGAAGTGCTCCAATGTGTCCATACACCTTCACTAGAATCATTTCGATAATTACAGCTCTGGATGATGATTTATACAGCTGCCCTTTACTAAAGGTAAACATCACCTTAACATCAAAAGGGGGAAAAGAGCATTTTGAGCTTTGGAGATGTTGACAGACTAAGAATGTAGGCTCAAACTTGTGTGAATAAAACAAACACAACTCAAGATATGTTTCTGATGAGATTGTAACATGGCTTAAAGCTCACAAGAATCAGTTTTGGGTAATATCAGACCTTTAAAGTAGGTCATATTGCTCATTTGGACATGCTTTTGTACATTGTCCTGCTGTGGTTCTGCTTTCTGCTGTCATCAGAGAAGTCTGCTTCTCGTCACCTATGACCTCTGTTGGAGGGTGGCAGATGTTACAGATGGTGTAGCAGACACACAGGTCCCACTTGGATCTAACCATGTAATAAATCAAGCTTTTCGATTCTTCTTTTGCATAACTATCTGAGCAGTGCTCTTCTTATTGTTGTTTAATGTATAATCTTTTGATCAAGAACCATCCACTCAACTATGTTATGCGTATGTTAATGAAGACAGGAATTAGAAACACAGGAATCTGTAATGTTGAGTTTGTAATGGAGTGCACTGGGTTCTGATGTTATCTGCATTACCACACCTGCCCTGATGTGCCTGGCAGTCTGTGAAAACAATCTTTCTGACTGTCACCCATTATTCACACACATAGAGTACAGACCTGGAAACAGTGTCATGTCCAAGGATCACATGTAAACCATCAAATGTTTGGCCGTATGTACCTTCACCCACATTGTATCAGGATTTGTTCATTGGGGTTTAGGAATGTAACAATATCCAAATCTCTCAGTATGATATTATCACGATATGCATCTCACGGCACGATATTTATTGCAATATTTTGGAGAGGCTAATATAAATGTAGATAGAACACTTTTTTGCTTTTAAAATACCTTGACAAGATTATTTTATTATTTCCATCATAATCCCAAGAATTCAAGTAAAAACATATTTCTTCATGTTTTCTGCTCTGAAATGAATCAATGGATATGTAGTTCCCTATGTTTATAACCTGTTTCTACAATAAAACGATGCATTTAACCAAAGAAACTTGTAATTCGATATATTGTGACAGCCCACGATATTATTGTGAGCCTTTTGACAATGCGATATCAGAATATTTCGGTTATTGTAACATCCCTATTGGGGTTTGTTGATATTAGTTATTTTTTGAGAGACTGTCACAATAATATCAACTTTCATTAATTTCATTCATTATATGAAACCTGGAACAATAATCTTTGAGGATCAATATTTATCATGTGTGCAATTTCTTTGCAATAGTGGGGAGATTTTATCAATTTTTCTGTTCTATCATTAGATTTGAACTGTAGAGCTGTAATAAATAACTTATTGATTCATTCTGCTTTGTATTTCTTGCAAAGTTGTTTACTAAGATGATCCTGCTTTGTGTTAGTGGCATAAAGGAGTTTCAGTATTATTATGTATTTCAAAATGTATCTTTAACAATATGCTATCTTGCTTCAAAATTGTGACAGGTCTAGCTGAAGTACCTGTAGTGTCCAGTGATATTGGTGTTGTTAGGGAGGACTTTGTGTGTAATTTAAATTTTAGTGATATTATAAGTTGTGCTCGAACCTTATGTCGGTGGAGTTGGATTTCAGCATTTGGGGTGAAACTAAACATTCTTACAAGGACAATGAAGACAACTCTCTCAGATTACAATATGACCAAATCTCAAATGATATCGCAGTGTTGTTCCTGTGACTCCCTGTGGTGCTACACTGATATCATCACCCCTCCCTCCCCTCCCTGCTCTTCTGTCCCATGTATATTTTATCCTCCCCAGACTCCCACATTAGAGGCACCATCCATTATTGAATTGCTCCCCTCAGCAGCACTGTCCAACTGTCACCCCATGTCAGCTTTAACATTTGGAGCATTTGTTTCAAAGCGAAGGCGGGACGACACTCTCCACACACACACACATGCACAAACACACACACGCACTAGAGACATTTTCGTTATGTGACACTTTGAGCATCTTGTGTCAGATGTAGGGCACATTGAAGGCTCTTGCTATTCTGGCATTTGCATACAGAATTTGTGATTGTAAAAAGGATGGCTTGTGCTGTCATTTTAAAAGCCAAATAGGTCAATCACTGTTCACAACCCAGGGAAGTTAACAACCCAGGGAAGTAAGTCACTTTTCAAGGTCTTAAAATGGGTCACATGGATATTAATAATTTAAAAACCTGTAGTTTTAGTGTAATTATTTTATGACCAGTGGCTATGAACATTAAAGCTAAATGTAACCTGCACTCTTAAAGTAAAAAAAATATTCTACAATGGAAACTTAACCTGGTTTTCCAATGCGTTAAACTACATATATAGGACACATACAAGTTTTTCTCATTCTCAGTAATGGACAGACCATGTCAATCTCAGGCCAAGCTCCTCCAAAATTCTCTCACTGAGCTGCAGAGGCTGCACTAGCACTGAGTAATGACTGGCTGCAGGATCAGTGAGTCCTTTTAGGTTTAAATCAACTGGATTTCAGCACTGAAACTGGCAACCCAAATAAGAGACTCATGTGAGGCTCACTCTGCTTTCTGATTGGATAATCATCTTGAGAAACAAAACATGAAATTATAACATCATAGCCACAGTATGGACATATTTTAAACCTCTATGCCTTTATTGTACCACTACATTCTCTTCCTCTGTGCTGTACCATTCTAAATATTTATGCACAGGTTCATTATTCAAAGTAGACATTTTATTCTAGATTTGAAACACTGTCATCAATGCCATTCTCTTTGATAGCATGTTATTACCTCCACTCTCATTTGAATGCACAGTGCCTATTACAGACATTAGTACACAGCTCACTGGTTACCCTGCCACCTCAAACTCTAATTCATGTTGCATACACTCCAACTGCTCCTCCACCACTTTCTCTCATTTATTTTCCCTCTGTGCATCTCGGCTCTCCTCCCCGTGCCCCCTCCCCCTGGCTGTGCCGCTGTCCGCCTCCCGGTTT